TCCATCCCATCCCATTCCATTCCATTCCATTCCATTCCATTCCATTCCATTCCATTCCATGATGTGCCATGTTCTTTTTGAGTTTTTTTCTGTTTCTGCCTTACCACAGTTAAAAGGCAGTAACGATAATCTCATCACCCATTTACAAAAAAACAAAATAAAAAACAGTACATGGAAAAAAGGAAAATAAAACACATTTCAAAGCCTCACTGCGCAGAGATGTTGTCTGATTGGATCTGTATAATTTTCACTGTATCATAAATGCTAACATATAAAAGAGTTGAATTTATGTCCCCTAAGTGAACCAATGAATGATGAAGTTGACCTAAAATTGGGTGCAACATCAGGCCCAACCCCTAAGTAAAGGAGCAAGTCTGAATTTAATTTTGCAATTCTTTGGGGCCCCTCTAAGCATTGTTCAGTTGAAAGGACAAAGTTTCCAAGTCCATTTTGCAAAAAATATCTAAGAGAAAAACAATGGTCCATTTGTTTTCTTTGGAAAAACAAAACAAAAAGAATTAAATCTGATTTTCATGCAAGCCATTTACTACTGTCTTAAGTAAGACTTGCCTTTGCCATATCTGGATTAGCTGAGTACTTACAATGGTAAAGAATGAGCAAGCAGCAAGGCCCACAGTGTATAAAAACAGACCTTATTAAATATGAAGACAGATTCTAAATAGCTGTATTAAAATGCAACGAAAATTGGGGGCGTTTTTGGTTATCTTACAGTTGAGAATAAAATATCTGAAGTCCTAGTGCCCCAGAGAAAAGGACTGTTTCCCCCTCCCACTCTTCAAAGTAGTTTGGCTTAAGTTAAGATAATGCGAATAACTGAAAGAATCATGCAGCTGGAATAGTAAAGAAAAAAAAATACAGATAATGCCTCTTGATGCTTTTTCTTTTTTTTTCTTTTCTTTTTTTAAAAAAATCATGTTTAAGTAGATGAGCTAAAGAAGAGATGCAAAGTATAGTGGTCTGAAGTCCCATGTAACAGGCAGTTCAGTTCGTATTTTGATAAAAAGGCCATTTTATCTATTTACAATATCCACAGTTTTGCTAGCAAAGAAGGCAAATTTACAACTATCTTCTAAAAAGCCTTCTGCTTCTTGCAACCTAAATAAGGTGACTAACTACAAAATCAAGAGGGAACAAGAGATGGTTAATGATGCATCTTCTTGGTGGAGAAGAGGGAGGGTCTTGAGGGCCCTTAATGCAGTTGTGGCGACCACACCCCTCCCCCGGATCCTTGCTGATTAGGTGAAAGTTTCCAGCTCCATTTCTGCAAAGGAACGCCCAACATAATTAATGATCCCTTTTGCCTGCAGTGCTTTAGTACGAAGATGACACAGGAAGGGCAAATGCTGCAATCCCTTTTCATGTGCTGCACATTCCTGGAATTAATTCATTTGCTGAGTTCTTGCTGGCCCGGCAATATGAAGTCTCGGATTTGCATTATTGATCTTGACTCGGTTAATTCCAGGATCCTTCCTCCGGGCCTCGCTCATGCTGCAAATTGTAGTAACAGTTCTGGCAAACCCGTACTGGGGAGGAGATTTTCAACCGCTTGATTTCAGACTGAAAACGGCTGCACCTGAAGAAAGAAACGTGGGGTTAAGATCTATTTCTCTTCTTCCTGCAACCATGACTTGTTCAGCATCAGACTCTTGTTCACTGTAAAAGTCTTGTCCCCGTAAGGCAGTGCTACACAACTTAAGTTGGGGGGAGGGGAGATACACACCAGCCTTTGAATGGTATGTCGGGGGCCCTTTTCCAAAAGAATGGAGCCATATATAAAAGATTTTTAAAAGCGGAGGGCAATAGGATGAAAAGCAATGAAACATTCACATGAATTTTATTATGCTGAGTGGTGGGGTAGAAGGGCCGAAGATGGCAAGATGAAAGGGAGAGGTGTTAGTGCAGGTATTTCTTGGGGGGGAAGGAGGCCCAGGCAATGCTGCAGTTGGGGTGGGGGATGCGGCACAGAGGAATGGAGGCAGTAGGTGCAAGTTGAGGCTGACAAGCTTTGGGACTCCAGTTGTAAGGGGGTAGGAGGAGGCACAGAGCAGTAACAGGATCACAGTTAATGCAGCGGGGGCCATAGGCTGGTCCATCTACATTCTAGGATGAGGCTGTCAACTTGGAAGAGGAAGGAATACTCAGCTGGCAAGCAATTTATGCCAGCTTCTCTCGGATAAGTGAAGTAAAAAGGGCCATGATTTTCTACAAATGTTTTTGGACACTAGGACTTGCCCAAGAATCATTTGATTAAAGAGAAGCGGAGGACTTAATAGGGGTTGTTCTTACTTCTGACAGAAGAGTTGTCCACAGTTCCTGCAATGGTGACGCCTTTCCGTAAGAGAAAACCGGACCGAGCAGCTGGAGCAGCTGTCTCCTCCCTCATCTTTCACCCAGTGGTCTGCTGCAGAGCGGCCGGGTTGGTCACTCACAGACCAGCTAAACACTCGGCCTCTGCTGTCACCTACAAGAATCCTGCTGTGATCTCTGGAAGAAACAGGCACGTATTAGCCCTCAGTCAAAGCTTGTGGCTGAAGAGGAGAATGTAATGGAGGAATCCAGCAGGTCAAAAGAAACCAGGCCTGTCTTGCATCCTCTCTGTTACCACTTAAAAAAAAGCACCAACACAAGAACAAAACTAAGCGCCACTTAGTCAAATCTCTGGTTAAAACACCCCAGAAGAGGGGAAGGAAGGAAGGAAGACATGTGGGTGCAACGTCTCATGTTGTAATATGAAATGTAATAATACTGTCAAGTAGCCAACGTGCTATATAAGTACAGTCGTCACTAATTATAATTAAACCATCCCTGACATGACCTTAAATTAATATTTTTTCCTATGAAATGTATTCATTTTTCAAATCTGTCCTGTGTTTAGAAGCAGTTCATATAAGGATGTTTTAAATCTATTAACCATAAGTAGAATCTCACATTTCAACAACAAAGCAAGGCCAGAAATAAAGGTTATAGAAATAAAGATTATACTGTTTTAAACAGTCTCAATACCAATACCAATATCATCAAACATGAACCAGAGTTGTACAACGCTGAAAATGCGAGCCCCAGCTGGGAGCCCCCTTAAACACAGGATGATTTCGGGCCAGCTATGTTCTCCCTACCCAGTCACCTCACATAGTTGCTCCGTGAAGATAAGATTAGGGAAGATACCAGGTAAGCTCATTTAAACTGTCCAAGAAAAATGATATTATGAATAAAAATAACAAATCATAACCTTCGATAATCACATCTGGACCTCTATTCTTGAACAATAGGAAAAGAGTAGGCAAATTTTGCCAGTGATCCTTCCCTTGTATTCCAAATCCCTTTTGAACCTCAGAGTGAACAGGACCCAACCATATATGCATATTTTATTTCTAGAGTTCTTTCAGAGCCCCTGAAGGACATTTTTCAGTGAAATGGGCTTTTACTATTTTGTTAACATTTCAGAATTTTTTTGCTTCCTTTCGTTGCCTCTCACATCAGCCAACCAAATATTACTGCAAGCTTACAAGGAGGACTCAATGTGATGGTCACTCTTGTGTTCTCAGAACTAGACAGCTTAATTTAGCTATCTCGGCTAGTAGTCTCTTTAGCATGAATCAATTTAATGTCGTTTTCAGCCAGATCTCAGGAACAGGTTTCTTTGTTCTATTTTGCTTCAGGTGATCTGAAGCCTAAATGCACTACTGCAGGGTTCCTCAACCTTGGCAACTTTAAGAAGGGTGGACTTCAACTCCCAGAATGCCCCAGCCAGCCTTG